CACTTCAACTTTAATTATTCTTTTCAAAGAATTTACCACCTGTGTAGCAAAAAATTCAATACGAATATCTTGATCATCTAATGGCATTATTAATCCTTCTGTAGAAGAGATATCAAATTGTTCTAGGAAAGCATCATCAAATCCAATAAAGTGCCAAATAACAGGTACCAAACTCTTATTTTTTAATTTTATTATTCGGAAGTCCTTGCGAAAAACAAGCACATGATCAAACGAAATTGACTTGGGCTCAACCTCAAAGTCCACTTTCACACCTGTACAACAGATCTGCATGGATAACAAACAAATAAACACTCATTAGCAAAACACATATCATAAAACTTTTAAAAAATGCATTTTGTTTCAGAAAATCCTGGTAATTTGTGGGTTTGTAACATACCTTTATTTGCTCCAATGCTGGATTGTCTTTTATGCTGCATACAATTGTTTCTGTAACTGTCCCTAAAGCTCTTGGCATTGCAAATACTGTAACTTTATCTGTATTAAAAGGCTGCAAAAATTAAACTGGATAAGTCATTGAATAAGTTAAAAAATAGTGGCACTCCAATAGCATATATTTTCTTGAATATGTTCCATAATATTATTATTTTGCTCCTTCTGTCCTCCTAACTTCAACCATCACTCAAAAAATGAAGAAAGATTAAAGTTAAAAAATGCATTTTGTAGGGAATTTTGTCTGCTTCAATTTTGTACACACTAGTATTTGATAAAATGTATAGTAGTTGTTGACATAAAAGTGAAAAAAGGGAAAAACTTTTAAGAATGTTTTGCAATTTTCTCTGTGATTTCACAAGGTGGCAAACATAGAATTCAAATTAAGGTCCCCAAAACAAAGAACTGGTGAGAAAAAATTATAGAAAAAAATATAGTTTAAGTCTACAATTTTTTTAAAATTATTTATTATTTTTCAAGATCAGCACTTTTGGGCACCAGCTATCTGTACTACTAAGGCAGGTAGTGAACTATGAAAAACACTCACAGACAGAGACTGGCAGAAATAGTCAGTCAGATAGATACAGTAAGAAACAGTCAGAGGCAATCATATATAGACCGTATCCCCAAAACAAATAGTAGTAGCTGCATTAATGCACATAAACTGCATAAATGAGAAAGCAATAGTTATACTTCGTGTAAGAGAAAGAAAAATATTTTTTCTGTAATGTATAAAAAAAGGCAGATTCTGTTCATTGCCACCTGCATGTGAAGTTGGTTACTTTTTAATATTATCCATTAAAATGATTGCCAATCTTGTTACAATGAAAAAAATACTGTTCATCCTTCACCAATTATAAAATTGTGTGTAACACTTGTTATATATCACTTTTGAGTTTTCACGTAATGTAATCAAAATTCATGATTTTGCACTTTCAAGTAAATTCTGTGGAGTTTCAGTATCTTTGCTACCCGTAGTAAATAAGAGTAATTTGACTGTTTCTGTTAGTAATTTGACCACTTCACTAGGAAATATAACAAAGTAAACATGTTTCATAAGTTACTCTTCCCTATCCATAGCCATATATAACACACTAAAATTTTATTCCACTACAGAATTATAAACCTTTCTTCAATTACTATTACAATTTTTATACAGTTGTAGAAAATTGTTGTAAATGTTTTGTGAACAAAGTGGTTGTCAGTTTCAAGGTCTCAGTTTTTTTGCACTGATGTATGGTCTTGTCAAAAAAAACAAAAAGAAACAATCTTGATGAAGAAAAAAAATTCATGTAAAGCCTTTAGTATGTAATTAAAAAAAAAATTCATTATCGGATTATCAGGGGACCAAATAAAATATGATTTTCTGGCAAAACATTAGTGCCACTTTTTCTGTAACAACTGTAAACTTTGGCTCTAACTTACAGTATAAAAAGAAAGTAAAAAATTAGTGGTGCCCCAGAATGTCATATACTTTCTTTAGTTAGTTCTTTACTTAGTTACACACTACTTTTCTTTATTTAGTTTTCTATTTTCTCTGGACAGGGCTAGCTATTTGGACTTGTCATATACCAAAAGTGTATTCTTTCGACAATGTCTCAATTTTTCAATTTACTAATAATAGAACCAAAATACTACTTTCAGAATATTAAAGAAGAGTAAAACCTTGTCCTAATTGGCGAATTTCACTAAAAAATTTTCAGCCATTAAAAAAGAATGGTATTAAAGTGTTACTGTAAATATGAAATTTGAAAATATTTTTCAAAAGAAACTTTTGAGTTTTTAAAAAACTTCATTGCATGTCATACGAAGCACTTTAACTCATAAATGAAATAGTGTTTACAAATTGTTGAAAATGTGCATATTAACAGTGTGAGAAGTATTAGAAAAAAATTGCATTTACACATAAAAAACAATAACAAAGAATATAGCAAAATTATTTTTTTGACATATTAAACAGTGCTATTAGCACTAACCGTTGCAAAAGTTTGAAGAAAAAATTTGGGGCCATTTTTGAGAAAATGACGTTTGTGCATTTCTGAAAACGCAGTATTTTGAGTTCATTTTCACAGAAAATTGTTGATTCTCGAAAAACTTTATATGACATTATTTAAAGCACATGAAGCCATAAATAAAATAATGTGAACTAATCACTGCTAATGTAAATATTAAGACAAGAGAAACAAGTCAAATAAATTATATTTTTGTAATTTTTGAAAAAATCAAAAGTATAGAACAATATGGCGTCATCGAACGGAGTACTTTGAGCACTCTCCCTACCAAAAATTTAAACAAAAATTTTGGAGTAGTTTTTGAGTAAATTTTGTTTTCGATATTTTTCAATATTGCACACATTGCATGCAATATTGTGTGAAAATAACTAAAATTTTCAAAAAAAAGTACTTGACTTTAATGAAAGAACTATTTATGGAGAAAAAATTTTACTTGAAGAAAAAATCTCTATCTTCATTCTGTATTTGAATAAAGACTAAAAAAATTCAAACTTTCAAAATTTCGAAAATTTAGAATTAACAGTGAAAAACAAGCCTATGCCACATTTATAAATGTATTTTAGCCTACTCTTATAATAAATTTAAGGAAAAAATTTGGAGCCATTTTTGAGAAAAATTTTTAAATGTCTCAGGGACTTCATGTAAAGTACTGCCAAATTTTAATGAATGTTTTTCAAAATTGCTGCGCCACGAATTAAGTCATATTGACCAGGAATTATCCATTTTGGAAAAAAATCTTATGTATGGTTTAGGCGCTAGTGGTTTTCACAGTCAGACAGACGGACATATTGAACAAAATAAACAACACTTTTTCAGAGATAGTGGATCGCAAAACATGTATTTCCATTGAAATACTATGTATATTTTGTTCTTTGTCTCTCTCTCCCTCTCTCCCACCATTCACATATTTATATATGAATTCCTTTTTAACTGTATACTCTGTATACTGCATGAGTTTTCTTCTTGAGCAAATGTTTATATGAAATATTTAGTCAAATTCCCAAAACCTCAAATTGAATAAAATGAAAAAAGAACTACCTGTTATAATGCTACATTAGAAAATAATGAATTAAAGACTCATGAATTACATTTTCTTAGTATTTTTTTTATTTTTAAAGAGATTGACTAAATATTTTAAATTTATTGAATTTTGAAGAATTTGTTTCAATAAGACATTCATTAAATTTATTTACTCTATTGTTTAATTTTTTTAAATGTATCTCTACAATCAAAATAGTGTTTTGTTAATTTTTGTATATATTATTAAAACTATTGTTTTACTCATTTCTGTACTTAAAATTACTCCCACCAAAAAAAAATACATAACTGATTTTAAAACATACCTTAATATTCAGAAGTACTGGTTCAATTGCGAATGTATCAACTTTTTCATATGTTTTATCAAGAAAGGAAAAGCGAACCTCAGCAGTTAAAGATGAACAGTTAGTTATATTAAAAGAAGTGGCAATGTGGTGAAGCCTACAAATTAATTTCTTTCATTAAACTAAACACTGAAAATTACATCATTTATAAAAATCATTAATTTTGTATTTACCTTTTATCTTTAGGTTTTGTCACTAAAATTGAACCAAAATCAAAGTACTGTGAGTCTAGAAAGAATGTCAATCTATATAATTTGTCATGTTCTTTTGTTTCAACTATCTGAAATCATAGATTAATTTTTTTTAAGAATCACTTTTGAACTTTCAAAGAAATGTAAATAATTTATCACATATTAAGACGTTCTTAGCTCTCAAATATTTACATGATCAAAGAGAACTTCAGGATCCATATCTATTCTTGGTAAATCACAAATCCCTTGTACAGTAATATGTTGTGGTTTTCTCCAACCTACAACTTCAATAGGATATGTAAACATGTACTCTCCAACAGAATGAGGATCGAACTGTATTTTAATCTCGGCTTGTTCTCCAGGATTTAGAATCCACCGTGTCTTTACTTTGCGAGCTAAAATAACAAAATGATAAAAGCATGAGTTTCAGAAACAAATTTCAGAGCTGTAAAGAAATTAATAGACTCTCAGTCTTTTTTAAAATCATTATTAAAATTATGATATAGAAGAAAACAACAAAATGAAGCAGGGAATGATAATTAGAATTCAAAGATACATTTAAATTAAATATTATTAAATATTACATTTATTAAATTAGAATTAAAACATAATTGTAATTAACAATTTTAATCCAGAAGATGATTACAATCAATGAGTCAAACTGTCGAAATAGAAACATCAGATGTATTTATGTTCACAGTAAGGAACAGGATATGAAATCTCTTGAGTTATTATTGTAAATAAGTAAATATGTATGCAAAGTTTTAATTCTATTCACCATTGTCAGCTTAATTTGTTCATTGATAAACTAAAAAGCTGTTCGGGGAAATGTGATTCATCTAGGAAGGGGACAAAACTACTGAGGGGAGTAACAAAATGAATCATCACTGCCCATACCTGCAAAGATAAGAAAATCTAAGAGGGGTGAATCACAAGGACTGAAATATGTAAAGGCTTGAGAAGATGCAGTCTAGTAACTTCACCAAAGTGTTCAACATGGGGCAGTTCTTTTCATCAAATATTCTTAATGCAGGCTGTTCAAATAGTGAAGTTATTAGTGAAAAAAATACAATGGACATTGTTGGTAAACTTCCTCCAGAGATTGCTAGCATAATTCTCAGGTATGTTAAATACTATTTTGAAATACTTTTTTTGGAATTATCTTCAATGATTATTGCACAAATTAACAATATTATGTGATCTGTCGTTTATGAAATAAGTGAAGGTACGGAAGGAAATATAATTTTCATTTTGAACTTTCAGAAAACTTGACAAAGCTTCTCTTGTCAATGCATCGTTAGTGAATAAAAGATGGTTTTCTCTGTGCCAAGCAGATCATGTTTTACAAAAGAGAATATGTATTCAGCTGTACCATACATCAAAATGTTTATCATGTAATTCACAAAAGATTCGGAATTCATCTACTTGTATTTTGAAAGGTATGTACAATATTGTCATTGTCATTTCTTTAAAATTCATTTTGTTATTTTTAATTTGAAAGAAATGTATTTTTTTAAATTAGTATTTGATAAAGAAATGTATCTATAATACACAATTTGATCTCAAGAAATACTGTTTTCATCCTCTATTAAAATGTGCTAATTTTTAATGAGGGTTGATATTAAAAAAGAAAATAATTTAATCATTCTAAATTTTCAGGTAGAAATGTATTAGTAGCGCCTGTGCGTAACAGAGCATGGTTCACAGTGTCCCACTCCACTCCATTTGAAAACAGAAATCAGAAGCACTAGATCTGAGACTCCCAAATGCTTCCATTTCAAATTCAACTTTGACAGTTTCAGTGTAAGCTTATCATACTTTTCATTTATCACTGAATAGTTTATACTTCCATGTTTGTTTCTTCTTGAATTTAAATATTCAAGAAATGTAAAAATTGTTTTAAATAAAATAACATGTCATTAAAAAGTAGTATGTGTTACAAAATAAATAATTTTGTATTTTTAATAGACTTCTTAATTCTTACCTTCAGGTTTTGTGTCTATTTCTGCTTTTTTCTTCAAACTTTTCCTTTTTATTTTGGTTTTTTTAACCATTTTGTCCTAACAAAGAAGCAATATAAAAACTTAGTTTGAATAGAATTAGTCAAATTTCTTGCTAATGCAATTTCTCTCTTTGTATTAAAAACCTTTTTCAAAGAATACTCACATCAGCACCATCATCCCCTTCAAAATTACAAAATATGAATTCTTCAGGACCTGGAATTTTTTGTCTTAATTTTGGTTTTGGTACACACCAGTTTACAACTGTAGGATGTGACTTAGTAGTAGGAGATGTTTCAGCTAAAAATAACCACAAAATATTAAATATTAATTTAAACTTATTGTCAATATCTACAATTATAAAATTTAAAATAATCAGTGAATTGGAAAGTTCCATCAATAAGGTTGTTCACAATAACAAACAGAAGCAATTTGTTACTTCTATGTATACATAGAACTAAACAATTCTGTTTTGTGTTATCTCAAAGAGGATAATGTGCAAATTAGCAAATGTTTTAAATATTAATAAGTACTCTAAACCTAATTTTATAAATAAAGCATCAAGTATATCTTTTAAATATTTTACTTTCTTACATTCTGCTTATTTTTCATACCAAATATTCTAAGATTTCAAATGAGTTTTACAAAAAATAATTCAGAGAGAAATTGTGGTGTAAATAGGATTACATAACCATTAGTAATGGGAAGAAAGTACATGATGTTTTATCACCACTATTTTATATTTCAAAACTTATAAAGATCACTATCAGAATTACCCCAGTTGTCTCTATAAGCATGTTACCAAATTCCAATGCGTAAAAAAGTGAAGTTGCAGTTTATGGAATTTGGCATTTCTGGAATTTGACGTTTATGGAATATTTCTCTCACTCCAAATCCTGAGTGGGTATTTTAAATTTTTCGTGAGGGCTTGGCTACCGACCATACTCACATTATCCGCGGGGGCTGATCAAAACAAGGGAAGAAAATTGTAACTTTGAATAGTTTTTCGCTGTCAGATAAACAATTTTCGCACAGCTCGTCGAAATGACGTTTCGTTTTTGTTTTTTACGCCTTTCTCGCAAAACTCGACTTTTCCGCTTTAAGATGTAGTCAATTCTACTTCACCGGTTTTGGCTCTGTCAAAGTTAACTCTAAAATCTTTTAGATCCTTGCGAGCTGCTTCAATCAAATCTCGTTTGGCAAATATCAAAATCAGATTTGTGCAGGTTGATCGCATTAGTCGCGGTCAAAAGTTTTGAATTAATGCAACACAACTTGGTAACTCGAACGTCCCCATTTAGTTTTTTCAAGTTGCATGCTTCTGCTCGATCACATACACTTTTGCTTGTTAAAATATATATTTGACAAAGCTTGCAAAACATCAGCATATCTGATTCAAATCGCCAAAAGGGAATATTTTCTGTTGTATCACCTAGTAGGACTCAGACGCTTCAGTTGTGGGTCTGTCCAACTTTAAATCGAGCAATAATGGATATCGGATGTTAAATTACAAATTCGGAAAATATCTTCGCGTCCTCGTAACAACTATGTATAATACGTAATTCTAACACTAATAATACGTAACTATAATACGTAATTCAAATTTTACACTAGCCGATTTATGGTAATAAACAAATTGCTTTCGGAAGGGGTCTTTAAACTGAGTTCAGTTAGATTTAAAAAATTGCTTTTGTGGCCATCCTTTCCGGGGCCCCAGATAATTGCCGGGCTGGAAGTAGTTGCATCACTGGCTTGGGGTCTGTAGCTGCTGTAACGTCGTGCCATTGTACCCGCTGAACCCCACGTGTTTGAGGCCGTCGAGGGGGTAGGGGTGGTCTTTGGCCGCAGACGCAAGGTCAACAAGTTCCGGGGCCTCCCGAGGGGTCGGGGCGAGCGTGTCTCGGAACGCGGGTGTCAACTGGCGCAGATGGAGATGATAGGTGAGAGCAGACTTTGGGCAGCTGACGGCGAGCTCCAAATTTGCAACCAGGCCCAGGGTTTGGTATTGAGATGACGCCGCCGGCGTGGAAGATCTGTCACGTGATCCCTCGCAAGAAGGCTTGGCCACATTGAGCGAAATTCTACCCAATGGGCGAAAACCATTGTTTCCGGGGATGATTTTGCCTAGCTTTTCTTTTCTTTTCTATCTTAGATCCCTTTTTTACTTAATAGTACCCATTTTTTTCTAGAAATTGTACAAATATTGACTGCTTCTGTAACATACGCACAAGAGATTTAATTTTCAACATTTGCAAATGTGCAGCTATTATGAAACGATGTCAGAGCCCACTTTTTTATTTTGAACTAAACAGGCATGCAATCGGGCTCACCTTTCTCTAAACATTGAACAAGTATTGATAGCTTATGG